TGAGGAACAAATGAGAGAATGTCATGTAAACACTCTTAATAAAAACTGGAAAGAACTAAATTGTAGTTGACATTCAAGAAAAAAATGTCTCATGAATAGGGCACAAGGATAGTAGGTGGAACCTACTCTTTTACCTCAGAGTGTAAGGTAGTGTGTGTGTAGTGGTGGGGTCATGATATACAGTAGCTTCAGCAAAACTCCATTCAATGACGTAAAATTACAGAAGGTACCTCAGGTCAACTTTTCCAACTCTCTACATGGCACATGTATTTGAAATACTAGGTCAGACAGCGTAATCTCTGATTCAAACTTTGTGATGGTCACATAACACTTTACAATTCAGTCATTCTCTGTTTAGACAGCCCGACTTGTTTGAAAGCTCTTTATTGTAATGAATTGAAATTTGCATTTCCTGTGACCTTCCCCTCATTGGTCTTGATTCTGCCATCTGGCCTTGCACAATGCTGAACAACTGAAGACAGTCATCATTCCCCTAAGTAGACTCTTTTCCACTCAAGCCACTCAAAACCAAGTCCTTCTTTAACATGTTCTCATATAATAGACTGACCTGTGCTTGTGTTTACTGGATTAGAATCCAGTAGGGTGGGGGCTAAACAGTACATTCAAGAACTGGGTCAATCTCTTATATTCTATATAAAATATAGGATTGTATAAATGCCCTACAATCACATTAATTTTTTTTTGCCTCCTCTGCCCCAACTTGCCTTATATTATTCTTGAAATTGGTTGAGAGCCCCAGGATTTTTATTTTCAAGCTTTGATGTCTAGCCACTACTCCCTGATTCTGCACATATACAGCTAGTTTTCTGGGCACAAGAGCAGGACTTCATGTAGATTCTTAAAAAGTTGGGCCTATTGTACCATTCAATTGAGATTTTTAATATCTTGACTCTATCACTAAATATATTTACTGTTCCTGCTGGCTCCACATTGGCTGGAACCTTCAAATTAGTCCTTCAGACTTTTCTAAAAATTGCTGAGAAAACACTTGAGTATAAAAGGGTGAAAAGGAGATCATTAGAAAGCTATAAATTCAAACCCTAGCATTTTGACCTCCTATTAATGTTAAATTTTATTCAGTATTCAGCTGTAAGTTTTCACTGAGGATTACATAAGAAGTAGCCATACAAAAAAGGCCTCTGTTTTTTGTGTAAAATTGTATTAGGTGATTCAATGTCTCATTTGTAAAAATCCCCTGGGAAATTTCTCTTGGAGCCCAGGAATAGGAAAAAAAATTCTCTCCCAATGATAGCTGAGCTGGTCTGAATTTCCTTCTGTTTTGACTCATAAGAAGCTCAAAGAAAAAAAAATCAATTTCTCAATTGCTGTATCATTTCTTTATTTCTATTTATTTATTTTCCCCCTTTCCATCCTACTTTATTACCTAGCACTCCATGTTAACAGTTCTATGTTAACATGCTACTATTTTTTCAGAAGATTCATGATATATCCTTTTTATATGCAGTCAGGATATAAAAAGAAACAAACAAAAATGATCAGGATACCACTTAAGATGTCTCTCCAGATGTTTAAATGTCCATGGACTAATTTCTTTATTTTTAAGTGGGACAGTTGGGAATTATCCCCAGAGTACTTATGCTGAAGTAGCTTTGCTTCATTTCCTTCAAAATTTGTTCTCAATTTAGAAGGGCACGTTTACAATGCCATGAAAAAAAAAAAATCTTAATCTCCCCAAATGGTACCTTATTTCAAAGAAAAAATAAAAATTATTCAATCATTTGCTTGTCTTTTTTTTTTTTTTTTGCCTTTCTATTACAAGGCCTAACATTAATTTCATTGTAGAATAATCTTTTTTCCCACTAAATACTGCTACTTTCCTGGATTATTTACCCTGAAAATACTGTTGGACTTTTAACTGTTATTAAAAGCCCAGATTCCTAGAATTGAATTAACTATTACACATTAATTACTATTTGTGTGACTATGAATAAATTCTGGGTCCTGAAGTTTCTCATTTACAGAAAACTACTTTTTGATGAACATCTGCTGTTAAAATGTATATAACTTACTTTTAAACAGTTTAATGTATGCAGCTTACATCGTCATACAGAGGTGCAATATTCTAAGATGAAATTTTAGGAGCTTAATAAATCAGTCTAGGGTGGTCGGCCAGCCTTATATCAGAAAGGCAGTACTTTAGCTGTGTCCACCACATGAGTGTTTGTTATACTTATTTCAATGAATAAATGATGTTTAGCAAATGATTTTCTTTTAGTAACTGATTAACCAGCATGATGTGTTATAATTTATAGAAGTTAATTGGCAAAACTATAGATTTAAATATATGGTAGTACAAAAATATTTTGGTAGTATAAAAATATTTTTCACCTTTGCATGCACACGGTGGAAAAATCTCAAGGATGCCTATAACCTGTACCAAAGGATTAGAGGGGCAGGAATAGGTGGGATGGGGCTAAAGTTCTGTCATTAAGCCATCCTATTTCCAACTGTTGGTTTGATTGAATTTCTGGTCTTTGAGGCTGAATATATGAGTAAAAATCCCTGAACCTGTTATGTTGTCTTACCTGACTCAAGAGAATATTTTTCTCCAAGGTTATGAATGGACAGAGTGGAATGTCATCAAATTTACAGAAGAGGTTGTAAGAGTCCATTACTACCTTCTTGCTAATACATATATGCTAACATCTACCTATATGTGGAGAAGAATTTGCTTTAAGTCTTTCTTTTAATATAAATAGCAAAAATGATATCATTGGGATTGTTGTGCCTCACCCACCTCAACTTCTTCAGTAGCCACTCTTGCCCATCTGAGTTGAGTGTGACCATACTATTACAGGACTCTTCGTAATGAACATTTTGCCTCACTGCAATTTTTATCAGTGCCCTTGAAATGATTTACTATTTCTCTTTCCCAGATAGGGAAACTCAGGTTCAGAGGAGATTAACCCATAATCATAGGGATATGGAATGGTTAGAACCCCATCTGTTTGATTCCATTGCTTCAATTTTCCCTGCCACCTCCCAGGTTCACTACAAGGTCACTGCAAGGAATGGATGAGTGTAATGCTTATAGCTATGTTCCCTGTGAATGTGTGGGTCGAATAGAGGCTTTTCAGCTCCCTTGATAGCCCAAAGTCAATTACCTATTAAATTGCAATCCTATATAGTTTTTGTTGCTTTGTACAATTACAATTATTATATTTCAGTATTTTTGTTATTTTTTCATACTGTTTTTAAACCTATACCTTCTTTTGGCCTACTCAATATACTCAGAGAAGTCATAAATTTATATCCCAAGGCATAGATTACTGTGTGCCACACTTGTATGCCCCAGATCTGAGAGCCCTCTACCAGAAATTTTGGCTCTAAAATTGTCACTGGAACATGCTTTGAAAAAGTAATACTATCACAAGACCAATCATAATAATAATAATAAACTTCTCTCAAAGCATTTTAGAATTAGAATACTGAAATGATATAAACTGTTTGTGGATTGATAATTTTGATGTGCATTAAAGAAAAACCAAGTTAAATGAATATTTTTTTGGTTGTATGAAACCACTTGCCAGGCTAAAAGTAAACAGCAAAATTTAAGATATAAATATGGAAGAATTTTACTCTATTGTTACCAATAAAATATTGCATTCTAAATACATTTTATATTGGATATTGTATTCTAAGCATAAATAAATATGGCTATAAAGAACCATCTAGCTTAAATATTAAATCTTAACCATCTAGCTTATATATCAAATCTTAAGTTCTTAGAGGAAAGATCTTAGACTAATGGATAAGTAAACATTAATATATTCTTATTTATATTTCTGAAATTTATGCTTTTAGGTTATTTATACATAAGTGGAAGTTAGAGAGAGCTATGTATTCATATGAAGCTATTTCTTTAGCAACTCGTTATTTGGATGCCATGTGGCAGAACTACATCCAAAGAATATGAAGCTTTGAAACAAATGTACATTTGTATGTTCAATTTAAAACATATATTTGAATTTAATTCCATTGGAAAAGTATTATAAAATGCAGAGATAATGTGACCAAACTTTATGGCGGAGGCAGCTACTACGTATGTATTATTTTACAGTTATAGACATGGCTTAAAAATTGAGTGTATTTTCCTTTTCTTGTATTTCCTCTTTTGAGGTACAGTAATGGCTATAATCCCAGCAATTTGGGTGGTTGAGGCAGGCAGGAGGAACACAAATTCACTACTAGCCTCAGCAACTTAGCAAGACCCTGTCTCAAAACAAAAAATATAAAAGGTTGTGGATGTAGCTCAGTGATAAAGCACCCTGGGTTCAATCCTTAGTAACAAAAAGTATCCTTCTTAAACTGAACAGCACATATAGAGTATAAAGTAAGATGTTTTATTCTTAATTTATTATTATTATTATTATTATTATTATTATTATTTGCACCAGGGATCAAACCCAGGGGTGCTCTAAAACCTGAGCCACATCCCCTGTCCTTTTTATTTTTTCTTTTGAGACAGGGTCTTACTAAGTTACTGAGGGCATTGCTAAGTTGCCAAGGCTGGCCTTGAACTTGCAATCCTCCTGCCTCTGCCTCCAGAGTTGCTGGGATTTCAGGCATATGCCACCATGCCCAGCTCTCTCTTTGTTTTTAAAATATGTGCGTTTGCTACAGAAACTTAAAATAAAAAGTACCTTGAAATTATTATGTTATTCTAAACATTAATCAACAATAGTTCTTTGGGAGAAAAATTCCATAAGTTTGGATAATTTCTTGGGATGATTTTTCTACTAGCTGATATTGATCATATTTGAACAAGATAAAGATGAGACATAAAAATATAAAATTACCACTCTTATAGGTTTAAGGTCCATCAAACCTTAGGAAACTGGTTGGAATCAAAATTAAGATCTGTTCTAGAATTTCGACAATGACTTTAGCAATAGCAGAAAAAAAAAAGAAAAGAACATACTTAGGGAGAAAAATCTCTGATTATTTTATGAACATACCACTCCATTCACCGATAGCAGCTGGTCTCCTCTTTTGAGGCCTCCGTGTCTTTCAGCCACCCCTCCAGGAATGATGCGAGAGATATAAATGGGAGAATTTTGCTCCTTTCCTCCCATCACGTTAAAACCAAGGCCTTCATCAGTCTTTGGCAGTTCGACTACCCGAGGGTGGGAGTGGCCTTCACTAGCTGCAAAGGCTGCAACTGTGGCCTGAAAGAAAAGATGGTCTTTTGGTAATAAAATGAGGGAAAGAAAGCTAATGTGTTTGTAGGGGGCAACTCACACAACATCTTAATTTTTTTTTTTTTTGGCATTTTCCTGTGAAAGAGAAACCCAGAAGGGAGGGGCCTGTCTTCATTTAGATGCCATCTAGGATTCCTTTCTTTGGCAAACCCCACCCAGCTGTTTTCAAGCTTATAAAGCTTATCTACTATATCACTTAAGGTAGCTAGCTCACTTATGCAAATACTCCTATTCCTGGGCTCCAAATAGTTTTGGTACATATACTACCTAGTATTAAAAGTATTTTGTACATATGTTGACTATGAGCACCTTAATGACAGATTATGTCTTGCATTTTTTTAAAAGACACACAGTCTACCCTGATGCTTGCACATGAATGCTTATAAATATTCAATAATCTAAAGAGCATTTACACGTGTATACTCTTGGGAATATATATGTAATTTGCTATTGCCAGATCACTGGTTTAATAAACTTAAAGTTTTTTTTTTTTTTAACTGAGCATATCTAAAAGAAAATACAAATTAAAATTAAATAATGAACTCAGATTATCATTATTATTCATACCAATATTCTGTATTATTATGGGAGATCACTTATCTGGCAGAAGATTTTTTTCCCCTACATTAATATTTCAACTACTATGGTAACAGGCAAAATGAGTAGTTTCATGGCTTTCTACCTGGATGTACAAAACATCATTTAACATGAACAAAATTTTATTTTAAAATTCATACATTAATTTCCTTAAAGAAGTTCCAGAAAACAACTTACCATTAGTTCCCACCCCACATAGGAATAAAATAACAGCATTTGAGTAGTTTCAATCAGGAAAAGATTCTCTGCCTGCTTCTTTTTTTCCACTTCCATTAGCCTGACTTAACCACAGTTGATTAGATACTTACTATAAAGTGATTTACTCAATCCTGTAAAAATATTGATTCCCAACTACTGTACATTCTTTTTCCACACACAGCATTATCACATCAATTTAGCATTATGCTACTGCCTGCATTTAGTGAAAGATAGTGAATGATATGGAAATAATGGCTTGTTTTTAGCTACATGCATTTGCTCATGCAAACCTTGTTGTCATGCATAGGTTTTAATGGCTGACATGGATGCAATGCAGACAGCCCAGAAACAACCAGAAAATATTGTGCTATTGCAACATTATGCTGCTCTCCTGCTGTTCTACATGAATAAGAAATGAGAATGGTAAAACACTACATAATTCACTTTCCCCTTAATTAAACCATGTAGGGATCATTTTTCTGTGCGTGTTCCACTTCAGTACAAGCAAAGCATGATGTAATGGTAATAATACCCTTTTTTAGCCTGGGTTAGGAAAAAAAAAGTACAAATCTACAGTGTTCAGTTACAAAATGAAAACTAAAAAATCAGAAGAGAAATAAAAAAACAGGTGATGTAACAAAAAAAAAGAATTAAATGGAAAATTCTGATTATTTTCACTGGTTCTTAGTGCTCATACATTATTAGAAAGAGAAAAGTCTTTAAAAAGCAAGTCATGTTCTATTATAACATTTCTGTATTTGTGAAATGTGAATTGCATCAGTGATTTTAGATTAAAACTGTTTCCTAATGGTAGAGATTCCAGAAAATTTCATGATCCTATGGCTGTAGCATTTTTATTACTAGGGTCTCTGTAACGTCTGGATTTTGGGTTTTTAAAGTGCACAGTGGTCACTACCACAAAATGTGACAGGTCTTCCCTTTAGGTAAATGCCACATTCTTTCAGCAAGTTACCCACTGCTCTGCTGAATACAAAGAAGATTATACATCAGTGGGTGCAGGTGAGTTACTGTCATACATAACTTCTTTTTAGGTCTTTAGACCTGAGCAAAGGAATCTTCATACACTGAGTAGGATATAGGTTCTTTTGGAGCAGAGGAATGTGTTAGAAAACCACGTAGTATTTTATACAATGAGCCAGGAGATTTGCTTGTGCCAAATGGACATTCAGTGAGTTTAATGAAATCATTCTCCTTTCTTAAGCTACAGAAGCAGCAGAAACGTTCAATTTTCCATTAGGATTTTTACCTGGGAAGTAGTACTGGTTCTAGACTCTGGGCTGCCACTGATGTCTAAATTCTCTTACAGTGTACACACGAGAATACCTGAAACACACACGCGCACAGTCAATTACTAGATCACTGTGGTCAAGTATATTTTTAAAGTTACTCAAGCCTTACCTTTGCTGTGGCCCTTGCACGGAATTCTGGACAGCCATTAACAGTTATCGTTTCATGCATGTATTGATATACCTAAAATGTTCACATAAAAAAAGAGCGTGTAAGAAATAATAAGACTATTAATTCTTTCATAGCAGATAGAACATTAGATTTTTATTCTAGGACTAAAGTTCCCTATCACAAATGAAACAGGTCTGAATCAATTATCCTGATGATTTGGACCAAATGTATCTCCTATTTTGCAGTGGGGAAGGTGTCCAGACAGGAAAGGCAATGACATTTATTTAGAAGTTTTGAATTTGTCCATGTTTATCAAAGTAAAAACGTTTATATTTGGTTAAAAAAAAACCATGGTGAGTAAAGATTTTTACCATTGCATATAGCTCTAGCTCTACAATTAGTGACAAAGGTTATGTACATCATTATTTCTTGGATCTTGAAATATTTTGTGAGTAGTTTTCTTTTTTAAAAAATTATTTTTTTAGATGTAGACAGACATAATACCTTCATTTAGTTTATTTTTTTTTATGTGGTGCTGAGGACCAAACCTAGTGCCTCATACGTGCAAGGCAAGCACTCTGCCACTGAGCCACAATCCCAGCCCTGTGAAAAGTTTTCTAAAGTGATATTCCACAAAGCTAAGGTAGCAGTGTCTGTTTCTTGGCCCAAGCCACAATGTGTTGGAAGATATGTTACTATTAATGATATACAAAAATAACTTTGAATATTTATAATTTAATCTGCCCTGTCAATCTATTTTTTTTTTAATATAAGCAAGTAAGGCCATCAATTAGTCTTTTAACCCAGAGATAACAATGGTATTCCAGAACACAGGTAAGTAAGAGATCCTTAGAACTAGCAACATGGGGCAACATGTCAGCTATAGTTCATGTGAAAATTCAGCTGAAATATAAAAGTGGTAAAATATGTATAAAGAAGGATGTCATAGGGCTGGGGATGTGGCTCAAGCAGTAGTGCGCTCGCCTGGCATGCACAGGGTGCTGGGTTCGATCCTCAACACCATATAAAAATAAAATAAAGATGTTGTGTCCACTGAAAACTAAAAAATAAAATAAAATAAAATAATAAAAAAGAAGGATGTCATAGAAAACACACAGTTTTTTTCTGTTTGCAGACCCAAGTTTGATCTTTATAGTACAGTTGGGGAACTATGAGATCTTGTTTTACTGTACTGACCTTCTATCTGCCCATCTGAAAAGTGGATAAAGATTATCAATTTAGTAGGATAAGAATACTGTTTATGGCTTTAGTCACAACTATAAAAATTATTGAAACATAATTTCTAAACATTATTGAAACATTCCTTCTAAACATAGAGGGGTGGGATTATAAAATCTATATCAGTGGTAAAATAAAATGCGTCATTTTAAATAAACTGAAGTAAGGTCTAGTTTGAGGAAGACATTTGGAAAAAAATAACATGGTAAAATATGTAGGATTGTATGATAATTTTGAATTTAAATAATAAAGTCATAAGAATCTATTGCGTAACACATAGAGGTAAAAGTCCATTTTGGGTATTATGCTAGAGTAGTTTGGGGCATGATCCATTTGCTATTGCAGTAAGGAATGAAATAGAAAAATTGTTATTGAAGGCTTGAAGGGGTATTTTTCCTTTATATTAATCTTATTTTAAATGCTTAAAAGTGAATTCAAAATTTGATTAATTCATCCATATAACAATCATGTATGGGTATCTAGGGCCACTGTCTTCTCAACATTTCAACATTCATTTGTGGAGATTCAACATCTGGTTGAATCTCCACAAATGCTGACTCATCATTCCCAGGTGACATAGTTAGACAGAAATGCAGACAATGGTCTGGACCAAAATGGAAGGAATACAATTCCTGTAGCTCTGAACCAAACAATTTTAATTTTCAATTTCTATGGCAAATCCAAATGGGGATGAGAACTGCTTCCAGACGATCATCTGTAGAATCTATAGTAGGTTACCGAAAATTCTCCTGCCAGAATAGCTATCAAGTCATTTCCATTAGTTCCTTGAAAGTGCATTGTTTTGTCTCATAGAACTAGCTTGGCCCTAGATACTCAATACATGATTGTTATATGGATGAATTAATCAAATTTTGAATTAGCTTTTGAGTTAAGCACTTAAAATAAGATTAATATAAAGGAAACAAATAAATTCTACTTATTTCTTCTAAAAGCCCATGTTAGAGGAGGATTTTCCCTATCCTTCATTTTAATAACCTCTCTCATACCCAACCCCTTGCTCTACCCTACCTCACTATCTCTTGTTGAAAGTGCTGCCTTAGAGTTCATGGGGGCTCCTACCACCAAACACCATCCACTTTAGCTACATTGTTAAGTATCTACCTGACCATGTCACTACTGTGCTCTCAACCATCTGCTGCTGTTAAGAGTTAAAGAGACAGAGTCAAATGCCTGTGGGGATCAGGCAGAAATAACAACGAAGACCCCAACCTTCCCTCTAGTCTTATTTTCCTACCTCCTGTCCTTGGCTCCTACCATTCCCCAAGCATATCAAACCCTTACAGTTGTCCTTTGTATATCCTGTTTACTCTGATTAAAATGCCATTCCACCTGGCAGACACTTAGTCATCCAACTTTAACAGGATGATTAAAGGCCCAATTCAAATATTATCTCCCTGTTAAATGTTCTCTGCTTTCCTAAAGCAAAGTGAGTTTCTCCCTCCTCAGTTCCTGGCCATCTGAATTTATCTGAGGTTATTTTGATTGATTTTTTTTTCAGGGAAAGTGACTACGTTGCTTGCATCCAAAGATGTTTATGAGGACAACCATTTAGCAAATAATTAGGAGGTTGTCATCAACTGATTAAGACAAAAGGTAATTTTGTAAGTGCTTGAGATAAATACCTAATAAATATCACAAATTAAGAATAATTATTCTTAACATCCCAATTTGAATGTTCAGTTAAGCTGGATATGCAGGGGACAATAGTGTCTTGATAACTGCACACTCTCTGGAGGTGGCTCAGAAACAAACTCTGGTGTGCCACTTTCTAATTTTATGATGGTGGTCAGTTTAAGCCCTTGATTTCTCTGGGGCTCCATTTGCTCATATGAAAAATGTGCCTTACAATAATAACTCAGTCTTTTATAAGGATTTAATAAGAACAGAACAATTTGTCACATGTAATAAGCTAACCAAAAAATAACGTTATTATTATTATTGCTGTTAAATTGTTTTTAAATGCTTCTCATCTCATCTGACTCTGGGAGTTTTTAGTAGAGAATTTCACTAGACCAGTATTCCATGAACATTGTTTACAAAGAATTGATCAAAGACTATAGTTTTCAACTAAGAGCAATTTTGTCCTCTAGGAGACATGCAGCAATGCCTGGAGACATTTTTGTTCGTCACAAATAGGGAGGAAGATAGTGCTGTGGCTGTCTAGTATGTGATAGCCCAGGGGTCCTGCATTCTACAGTGCACAGGGAAGCCCCCCAGAGCAAGGAACAATGTGGCTATCTATCTGTAGTGATCAAGTTGAGAAATCCTGATCAAAGGAATCAAGCTTCACCTTCTCTTCTAATACGCAACAATTAGTAAGCCACAAAAACACACTTGTATAGCACTAAGGATTCTTGTAAATGTTCAATCATTGTTGGAGTAAATTATCATGATTTTCATGTGCATTTAATGAGGACTTGGACTAAATGTAATGTTAAGTATTTTATATCTATGAGCTTGTTTATTTCTAACAGCTTATCATTCACATACTCTTATGTGAAGACAGCAACAGATCACTAGTATTTGGGTAGCATGTGTAAAGATATGCAAATGTAACAAACATTTCTTTGTATTTTGAATAAAATTACCTATGAAGTTTTATCATATGTAATAAAGTATATAAAATTTATCAAGTAACATATGTATATGTATAGTGGTAAATGTTAAACAAGTGGTGGCTGCAAGTATACAAGGTCACCATTCTGAAACTAACAAATTCATCACTTCAGATGAAAGTGAAATAATACTTTAATCTCTCCCTTCAGTATAAGATGCCAAAGTTCAGTGAAATAAACCCCATATTATTATCCATCTTTTTTTCCTATAAAATAAAATGGATTCTGATCCCTTCATCTTTATATGTGAGATGAAGGGGACATAGTCTGTTCCCAGAGTCAGGACAAAGCCTGGAGATGTTAATTCTGTTTCCGTTAGCTGTGTCACCTTATGAGCTCCTGTTGTCTAAGAGACAACATGGATCCTTGACTATCTTACTTTTAAAGGACAGTTATAAAAGTATTTGTAAGATTGTGAAGAAAATTGTTATGGAAAGCTAAAATATTTTATAAGATATCCTGATAAAGTTCTTCAAGTAAAAAGAGGAAATGGTTGTATGAGCCTCAGGGGAAGTGGGGCTTGGCATCTCCTGAATCCTTTGGGTCCCAGATGTATGATAAATGTCATCCACAGCAGTTCTCAGCATATTCCACTGGACAGGAAAGGTTTAATTCCTAGAACTTGTTTAGCTATTGACAGAAACTCTAGTACTGTGTCTTTACCTCACATTTCAGCAGCAGTAATTTCCCAACCTTGGATAAATTTCACAAATTCAATCACATTTTCTGTATTTAGAATTTATTGAAAGCCAGTGAAATTTTACAAAGATAAAAGTGAGGGCAATGGAATTGTAGTGAGTTGATTCAGAAAGTTCATTTATTCAATTGTTCAGCCAACATTCATTTTAGAATTATTCTAGTCTATATGTTAGGCATCTGGTCTAAATTATGAAAGAAAAAAAATCTGTTTCTAAAACTTCCAAAGAACATTAATTTTCACTGTGGAAAGGCTATTTGAAAACATTTAGGTGACTTACACTTTGCTTTTCTTTATACTAAGAAGCGAATGAACTACCTTTTTTGGGGGGGGGATGAAAATTGTATCACTGAGTGATGAGCAAGTATAAATGAAGTCAAATCTCCACTTTGACTTTAATTTATTTACCAAGTTTGCAACAGCATTCCCATTTAGATAGAGTTGAGCTAAACAACTAAAATTCTAGTATGAGACGATTTCTGTTTTTGAAGTGTAATTTA